TCTGTGGCAAGATATAGCGAAGTGTCAAGAACACACATTAATTAAATGGCAAGATTTGAGCATTCCATATGGCAAGAATAAGGTATGGCAAGAACATACGTGAAATGGCAAGATTTGGGTACGCTGCGACAAGAACATGGCAATGTGGCAAAAAAGCATTAAACAGCAAGATTTGAGCATTCTGTGGCAAGAATATGGCAATATGACAAGCAAGAAATGGCATGGACAAGAAAAGGCATATAGGCAAGAAGGGGCATACAGGCAAAAAAGGGCATATAGGCAAGAAGGGGCATACAGGCAAGAAAGGGCATAGGCCCCTATAGGCAAGAAGGGGCATGGGCAAGAATGGGCATAAAGGCAAGAAGGGGCATGGGCAAGAATGGGCATAAAGGCAAGAAAGGGCATAGGTAAGAAGGGGCATATAGGCAAAAAAGGGCATATAGGCAAGAAGGGGCATAGGTAAGAGGGGCATATAGGCAAAAAAGGGCATATAGGCAAGAAGGGGCATGGGCAAGAATGGGCATAAAGGCAAGAAAGGGCACAGGCAAGAAAAGGCATAAGCAAGATGGAATGGGCTACCTAATATAAACAAGCATAAAACATTGCCCCCGTCCCTCCCTCCTTCTACCAAGAACCAGGTAGGCCTACCATGTATCTTGAGTCTTGAATTGTTCCCATCAATTTGCCTGTGCATGCCATGACCGGCCAAGCCCGGAACATTTGCCTGTCATTCATTTATCATCTGTTACATTCACGCAGCCTTGTCAGCCAGCCCAGCTTGCTTCGTCCACATTTTCCTACGTTAAAAAGATTTTTAAAAAAATACCGGCATTAAATATAAATAAAACTCAGTGAAAATTATAAAATTCATAAAATCACCACGAGAGCACCGGCGCCCAGTTAAAATTCCGCGCGCAGTCACAACGGCGCTTCTTTCCAATGATTTGCTCGTCCCCACAGAAGGGTGCAATTTGCCTTTACCTCATTGCATGGCCCAGTGCCCTGTAGGTGAGGGTGCCGGGGTGGGGACGAGCGAATTCCTTTGAAAGTTCGCAACGCACTACAAAAGCCCGTTGGTGCCACCGCTATTTATATTTTCCAAAGCAGCTACATTGTAATTTTCAAAGGCAACTATTTTTTATTTTCGTGGGCATTTTTTTCCAAAGTAGTTAGTTTATTATCATTTGCATTTAATTTGATTTTCCAAAGCAGCTGTTTATATTTTCAAGAATTT